TGTGTTGGTGTGTGACAATTGGAAAATCGGACTTCCGAATCGTAATTGTGTATCAATCATTTTGTGAGTGGATTGCGATGCGCAATCTCAATGTGCACCGTTATTCTCATTAGAGAGAACCTTGTCCGATTCGGTCAATGGGACCATGTCGGATGAAGCAGGTAGGCGGTGTCCCAGCTTCGCCCGTCTCTCTATTAGCTTTCGCAACTGCCACGTTATTGCATCAGCGTAGGCTGTAATGACCCCCAGCAAAACCAGTCTAGATCTATAGCCTATTGTTGCAACATATCAACTACTGAGGAGTGGGCCGATTACACGATGTTCAGGCCACATTGTGGTCACGATAATGTAACCGAACTGCGTACGTAGCGGGTGATTGTGTAAGCCCTTCTCTTGACATGAGTGCCGTTCGCCTCGGTCAAAATCGGTGACCTATTTTCCCCTACACACACCCCCATAGGAATTCGTGTGTTTTGTCTGGGTGTGTGGACCGACCTATGCAGCGGTACCACAATTGGAGCCGAGCATACGATAATGGTTCCACTCAACCCAACTTAGCTTTATTAGCTCCGTGCCGCACGAAACGACCAAAATGAGTGACGAACAACAGGAGAGCTGGTGTCCGACGCGACGGCACTGCAGGCGAACATCATTTGCGCAAAGAGAAATTCTCACAAAACTTGTGCTGGTCGACGGCAAAACTACTCGGGAAGCCGCTGAAGTCGCCGGTGTTAACGCGAGTACGGCAAGGAACATCATTAATGCCTACAAGCAGTGCCGTCGCGTCGGACACCAGCTCTCCTGTTGTTCGTCACTTATTTTGGTCGTTTCGTGCGGCACGGAGCTAATAAAGCTAAGTTGGGTTGAGTGGAACCATTATCGTATGCTCGGCTCCAATTGTGGTACTGCTGCATAGGTCGGTCCACACACCCAGACAAAACACACGAATTCCTATGGGGGTGTGTGTAGGGGAAAATAGGTCACCGATTTTGACCGAGGCGAACGGCACTCATGTCAAGAGAAGGGCTTACACAATCACCCGCTACGTACGCAGTTCGGTTACATTATCGTGACCACAATGTGGCCTGAACATCGTGTAATCGGCCCACTCCTCAGTAGTTGATATGTTGCGACAATAGGCTATAGATCTAGACTGGTTTTGCTGGGGGTCATTACAGCCTACGCTGATGCAATAACGTGGCAGTTGCGAAAGCTAATAGAGAGACGGGCGAAGCTGGGACACCGCCTACCTGCTTCATCCGACATGGTCCCATTGACCGAATCGGACAAGATTCCCTCTAATGAGAATAACGGTGCACATTGAGATTGCGCATCGCAATCCACTCACAAAATGATTGATACACAATTACGATTCGGAAGTCCGATTTTCCAATTGTCACACACCAACACAGGTTGATGCGTATGGGCACTGCACACCAACTAGGCGAATGTCAATGGGGAGACGGGAGCGTAGTTCAGAACTTCGGTCGCTGCTCACGATCAAGCAAATGTTTTACAGTGTAGCCTGCTGCTTACACGATGCCGGTGTATTAGCGTCATCACAATGTATATGCTGAACATTATTCAGCAGTCTTACTGCTCGTTTCTTACCAACAAATTGGCGAGTTGCTACTTAGATTGCAACGTGTCCAATTTGTTTTGCAAAATGTCCACTTTGGTTTGCAAAATGTCCACTTTAGTTTGCAAAATGTCCAATGTGGTTTGCAAAATGTCCACTTTGGTTTGCAAAATGTCCAGTTTGGTTTGAAAAATGTCCAGTTTAAAGTGAAATTTGTATATATATATATATATATATATATATATATATATATATATACATATATATATATATAGAACCCCTATATAGGCCGACAGTATGACTATGAAACGTCAAATTTGTCCAAAATCGTAAGTCTGTATATTAGCCGACCCCAAAAAAGCAGCGAAAAGATAAACGAAATTGTTTCTCACCATTTTGCCTTCATCACTACATGCTCGCACTTGAGTGTGCTCAAACGAAAACTGCTCTACTATTGGTCAGTTCTGGAGACCTAATGTGTTATGATCGTAGTTAATATGGCTTAGAGCAGTGAGAACAAAGATTTTAACGGCACTGGACAGAATACTGATTAGACGTCAAATCACAAAAAACAGGTGAGAGTGTCCGACACAGCCTCGCACAGTCGGGGGCCTCATCCATCAGAATCGCGGTGGAGCAGCACGTGAGAGGGAAGTTCACAATCAGTGGTGTGGAACGACTTTGTACTAGCAATGCATCTAATTGACTAGCATAGCATAATATACAAGCGCTGTGATTCGCTAACCAAAATAGCGCTAACGCGACGTTACACGATCCAACTGAGAGGGGATGTGCGCACATTTCGTGCGATTTTCCGAAGCTGTGGAAACGTGAAAAAAATGTCTGGACAGAAGTGATGTGTATATGCTACTGGTTTTAAATTGAAGGTTACCGCATTTGCCGAGCAATCTAATAATTGTATTGCTGTACGCCATTTCACGGTGAAGGAAAACGTTTTGCTACCGCGTCCAGCAGTACGCGGTAGGAGGAAAAGGTTAGCGCAGTGGGTTATGGAGTCACTGCATAACGGGTTAATTGTTACTCGAATGAACATTCGGATTAGGGCGCTCAAAATGTTAAAAAGTCCGGAATTTCAGCCATCAAAACCAATGGATTTTGTTGCTTCCTCCGGATGATGCAATGGTTTTATGAACCGATTCGACTTGTGTCTATGGACCTGCACAAAACTAGCCCAGAAACTGCCGAAGGAATTGGACAGTAAATTTGCATCTCTTCAAAGGTTCGTGATTCAGGTGAGAAAGCAATACGACGTTGAACAATCCCAAATAGGAAATATGGACGCGACCCTATTATGCTTTAATAAATGCCTTAAAATCACACGGTGGAGCAGAAAGGGGCTAACACAGTTATTGCAAAGACGACGAAACACGAGAAGGCATGGTTCACAGTTGTTTTAGGGCGTCTAGCGGATGGATCCCGTCTATTATCTTTCATTATTTTTAAGCGTATGGCGCTACCTAAAGGAGCGGAGTATATGTGCGGACTAACGCGAAAGGATGGATGGACGAGAGTGACAGTTATGGACTGGCTGAACACAGTCTGGGAAAAGCAAAGCGGTGCCCTTTTAAAGAAACCATCTATGCTGGTTTGGGATTACTTTAGGGCACATCGAACTGAGAACGTGGAGAAACGATGCCTTGAACTGGAGTCGTCCGTGGCTTTAATTCCCGATGGACTTACATCACTATTGCAGCGATTTGATGTCTGTTTCAATAAGCCCATTAAAGTAAGTCTTCGGGCCACGTGGATTGAATGGATGACATCGTTTGATTTGGCGTTGACGATGGATGGCAATGTGAAAAAGTTGGCATTGTTACAATGGCAGAGTGGGCGAAGGAAGCGTGGCTGGATATTCCATCAAAAATTATCGTACGATCAATGAACAATGAATTTATACGGGTTAAGAAGCGTTGCTTTACAAGCCCCGTTGGATAGTTGGTGGGGATATCAACATAATAATTATGATGAAAAGGATAGTAAAATAGTTAACACTTTAAATACGAAAATAAGGACTTATCGTTTGCTTCGCTGCAGTCCTGCGATTCACTTAGATTCACAACACCCACAGTTAACAACAAATAATTCCAGGGTAAACTCCAGGTGTAGGATGGAGACCTAGTGTTAAGTAACAAAGTGTAAGTGGATGAGTGCATCGTCCAACCGTCTTTTAAATATTGTTAGTGTCGGTGCAGAGACGACCGATTCTGGAATAGCATTCCACGGGTGACAGACACGGATGGAAAAGAAATTTCTGCGGCACTCCAGACGACTGTATTGTTCTGCGAGTTTTAATGAGTGGCCCCTCAGGTTTGTATTGCTGCTGAGTTGCAGTAAAGGGCGGCACACATGATGTGGGTCTCGCAGAATCAAGTATGTCATAATCAGGTCGCCTCGTAGCCTGCGATAGCTTCCACTGAACAATCCTAGTCGTCGCAGCCTCTCCTGGTAGGACAGATTGCGCATTCCAGTTACGTTCTTAGATGCGCGGCGTTGAGGCTGCTCCAGTGCATTAAGGTCGTGTTTCAGCCATGGATGCCAGGCTTGAATTGCGTATTCGACATGGGGGCGAACATACGCACTGCATCAGTAATGCCATAGATGGAAGTGAGGACGATGCCATTTTTGAGGAATACGACAATGACGAGAGCAGTTAAGTTGAAGATGACAATATTCACCATGACGTCCCAATGACAGACGACCAGTACCAAAAATATTTGGAGATTCTGACCTGGATCCTAGTTTCGAAGGATTGGAGTAATTTTAATACCATTGTGCAACGTTTGGATATGTGAGCCTATAAAATTTACCGGTACGTGTTGTTCCGTCATGTCTTTATCCAATGTTATTGTGTGTGACGGTGTTCGACTCTGTATAATCAGTATGTTTCTGTCACTGCTATCCGTCGCGAAAATCAGATGTGCACTATATACTGATAATTTTCGACAAAAACATAATGTGTCTACCTATAGGCACTCCAAGTCCCGCCTGGGATACCGCCTGTCACTACCGAGTGGTGCTAAAACAATATAGGGGCATAGGTGTGCAGTGAATGTCTGGGTGAATTTTGCATGTGATCTTTTCAAATTGCGCATAACCTATTGTATAAGCCGACCCCCACTACAGCCATGGAAAATGTCCAAAATTCCTCGGCTTATACAGGGTAATCTACGGTACTTCCAACAGTGTCTCTCTACTGAGCCGTGTTTTGCTATCGTTTCACCTCGCAAACGAAAACGCGGTTCAAATGAGTTCAACGCCAAACGGTTGAAGAGTTCGCAGAGATGAGGGCGCAAAAGGGCAAGGTAAAAACAGTGCTATATCTCAGTGGCGTTTCTAAATGAGATTATTATGGTCGTCTTCCTGATTGAGCTTTGTCATGGGCAAAAAGTGAATGCAGATTCAATTGTGTAGACACTGTCTTATCGGTCTCATGGATCTACAGCGTACACGGATAATTGGCAAGGAGCGATAGCCCAGAACCAGAGAATACTCATACAGTATTAAATGGTGGGGGATAACAAGTGGATTGTCCTCATCGTGTACAAAAGGCACAGTAGTGAGCAAGTCATCAGGAAACTGTAAAAAAAGCGCGCAAACGCATCACAGTGTGAAGGATCAACATGGGTAACCGGGCGGAAAGGGCTGAGTAAAGGTTATGCGAAGGAAAGCTGGTTGCACACAAGTGCCAATAGCAATCGACCAAAAGAGAGGAAAGACTGGAGCAGAGCTTTCAGGTTCATAAGTCAAATTTTGCGCATGTCATCTTCGATTCTGTACATCATGAGTTTCAAGTTTTTCAGTTCATTCATCAGTTGTGTTGTTTTAAGGGTGGATGACTTCACTTGCTTCAGGATGGCGATGTCGACATCGCCGCGTAGGCCCGGGGCATTAACAGCCTCGGTGGAACCCAGGGTGACCTGAAAGGAGAGAAAAGCATAAAATCCAGGCGTAACTACATGAAGGGTGGACAATTGTTGTGGGGAGAAATAGCGGAACTTACTTGTACGCCACAACTTTTTGCCCTTGATTTCATACAGAACGGTACAGCGCAAGTCCTTCGCAGTCACACCATAGTCCCGTACTTCCTGTAGCCGCTCATATGGACAGTGATAAGCAGACCTGACAACGCTTATGTTTATATATATATATATATATATATATATATATATATATATATATAAAGTTCATATACGTTAGTTGTAGTTGGAAAACACCGCTATTATGCCGCAATACAAAAAGCAAGAAAAAATAACAGAGGCAAGCCGGCTGAGCCCCAGTAACGGATGTCCATGTTTCCGGAGAGCTAACAGTCGGCTACCGTGCTGCGAAAAGAGGGTTATATTATGACTAACGAATGAGATCATGATTGGGGGGGAACCGAAAGGGAGGGGGATGGACAAAGAAACAATACAAACGCCATTGGGGCCGGCTCTTCGCCATATCAGCAAGTGTGTCCAACCAAACGTGTTCATCGTCCTTAGAACCCCAGCCAGGCAGTCGGGATGCACCAACCGACGCCAGTTTCGAAGTGAGGGTTTTCATTCCTCTCGACCAAGTCATCGCTTGGCCTCCCCTCCTCCTCTTCCAACCGCACTCCCGGCGCGCAAACAATGCATGTCGCGGGAGTCAGTGTGCTGGCAGGCGTAACATGTCGCTCAGCCATCGGAGCCTGGTGCGTGATCTAATGGTGTTGGGCAGTTCATTAGCACTTCCTGCACCAAATACGCGACGCCGAACACGCTCATTGCTCACGTGGTGCTCCCACCAGACATGAGCTAAGCTGCGGAGGCAGCGATGATCGAACGTGGTTGGCCTCTTTATGTCTGTCAACGTGATGGGCCAGGTTCATCGCGACGAGACTGGACCTCAACCTGGTGCGACGGTTTGTGTGCCTCAGTGATCCATGGAGCTATGCTGGGTGGTGCTGTTTTGCACCTTCAGAGTCACTCATAGCACATTGGTCAATGGTTAGAAGCTAGACAAACACAGTCTCCTGGGCCTCCAGGTTGGGGATGGGAGTGAGGGTGGCCCCTTGCTATATAAAACGGCTGTCTGTCGTCCAATGCCAAAACACCGCTGCCTTGCGGTAGGGTTTTGGAACCAAATACCCTAATCGTTCTCCTGACTAGGCCTGGGCAACCTGACAGTATTCTGACCACACAATACAATGAATCCTTCCCCAAACAATTTCCTGATTCTCTGGCTGCCGCAGAGGATAATCAACGGTGAACTATCTGCTGCATCAAGCAGAGTGGATAGTGGTTTGGATGCTACTGCTCAGGCCTGCCCGTCTTCTTATTCCCCCTCTTAGGCTTTTTCACCTTTATCGCTTGGTGAGGGGGCTACCTTGTCCTCTGCACGGCAGTAACGTGTAAGTCAGTGAATAGTGAGCGGCGCTATATCACATCTAGTAACTTATTCACGATGGTCGTTGCTGTCCCCCGTAGCTCAGTGATCTCAACCACGGACTGGCAACATTCGAGTTGCGGGTTCGAGCCCTACCAGGGTCTGATGGAATGCGCACTGCTGACGATTCCCAAAAGGATGAAACGCGCGTACAGTGCTTTTCCGGGCGTGTGATGGCTGTCTGAGTGAGTCTAGATGTGACGAATTTCGACCTATACCATTCAATTCTCCCTACCACTCCTCTACAATAGGACTCGTCAAAATCGTAGGGTAAAACTGCCTGCTAGCCTGAAAAAGACCGCGAAGCCTGGTGGTATCATCGTGCCTCGGAGTTGGAAACAGCAGCTACCGTTGGTAATCATCGTAAGTCATTCCGTCTGATACGGGAAACAGGCAGCAGACCTGGTGTTAACAAGACAATACGCGACGGGAGTGGACAGCCGATCCACAGCCTGTCAAAATGCCTGGAGCGTTGGGCCGAACACTCTTCAAGGCAATTTAACGAACATGTTAGCGCTTTCTTTTTCGGGCATTGCGCACACTTCTCCCTGTGCCGTCTCCTTGGATCCGCCTTCACGCGCAGAAGTCGAACGTGAGATCAGTCTGGTGAAAGTGAATAAGGCCGCCGGAGCAGAAAGGATTCCTTTATCCCTCTTCAAATTCGGGGGGCTAGCTCTGGTAGATGACTTACACGAGTTGCTGGTGACATTTGGGGAGCAGAAGACTGTCCCAACAGACTGGGGCCACTCCATCATTGTCCCAATTTTCAAGGGACGCTCGAGTTCGGAATGCGACAATCATAGAGGGATCAGTCTGATTTCGATTGCCTCTAAATTGCTTGCCTCTGTCATTCTCCACAGACTGACTGACACTCGTGAAAGCCAGATCCGTGAAGAGCAAGACGGGTTTCATCGAGGTCAAGGCTTCATCGACCAAAGATTCACCTTGTGTCAATTGTTGGAGCACCACCATATTTATTGGCTACCTACTGTTGTTGTGTTTCATGACATAAAAGGTGTCTTCGATTCGGTCGAACATGTGCGCCTTGAGACTGTCTACTGAGGAAGGGTGTGCCTGATAAATATGCAAACATAATCAAAGCGCTGTGTGCACATAGCTCGGACAGGGTGAGGGTTTAGGGCAAACTGTCGCCACCCTTCAGTATCACCAGCGGCGTGAGACAAGGTTGCCAGCTGTCACCTTTCCTGTTTAACTTCGCAGTTGACGAAGTCATGGAAACAGCGTTCGCGGGACATGGCCTAGAAGATGTGGAGCTACTTCATGGTGAGCGACTTCTTGACTTAAAATACGCGGACGATATTGCCCTAATCTGTGACAGCTCCCAAACATGCCAAGCAGCACTGGACTGATTAACACTGGCTGTCTATCGTTTTGGGCCGTGCTTTGCTCCATCGAAATGCAAAGTACTTCTCCAAGATTGGCAGGGACCCACCCCTGCGCCAATGCTTGGTGGTGATCAGCTAGAAGTCGCTCAGGAATTTAAGTAGCTAGGCAGTTATATTAGCGCCCGTGGGACCGAAGCTTGGATTACGAACAGTATAGAAAAAGCTCGAGGTGCTTTTGTCAATCTCCGCCACCTGCAGCGCAGACGCGACATTTCTCACGCCCTGAAGGGTAGAGTGTGTAATGCAGTCGTCCGTTCAACTCTCCTATATGATTGTGAAACCCGGCCCATCAGGTCGACAGACATAAAGAGGCCAGCCACGTTCGATCATCGCTGCCTCCGCAGCTTAGCTCATGTCTGGTGGGAGCACCACGTGAGCAATGAGCGTGTTCGGCGTCGCGTATTTGGTGCAGGAAGTGCTAATGAACTGCCCAACACCATTAGATCACGCACCAGGCTCCGATGGCTGAGCGACATGTTACGCCTGCCAGCACACCGACTCCCGCGACATGCATTGTTTGCGCGCCGGGAGTGCGGTTGGAAGAGGAGGAGGGGAGGCCAAGCGATGACTTGGTCGAGAGGAATGAAAACCCTCACTTCGAAACTGGCGTCGGTTGGTGCATCCCGACTGCCTGGCTGGGGTTCTAAGGACGATGAACACGTTTGGTTGGACACACTTGCTGATATGGCGAAGAGCCGGCCCCAATGGCGTTTGTATTGTTTCTTTGTCCATCCCTCTCCCTTTCGGTTCCTCCTCCAATCCCTATCTCATGCAATACGCTTAATCTAATATTTAACATTATAATTTTATAGTGCAATTTGTTAGTCTCGTCTTTTCGTATTGCGGCACATTAGCTGAGGTGTGTTTCTCACCCTCAGCTAAACAGTACTGATAATGATGGGCCAGGTTTCACAACTGCATAAGAGGGTTGAACGGACAACCTCATTATATATATATATATATATATATATATATATATATATATATATATATATATATATACACCAACTACTTCCGGCTGGGCAAAGTGAGCCAAGGCTTGGGCGATAACAGATGATGATGCAGCATTTGCGACAAGTGGACCTGCGTAAGCCTAAAGATGAAACGTGCCGACTATTGTAAACTTCGGAGAAGACCTACCTTTTGTAGTTGTTTTTCCACTTCCTCCAGTTTCTTCTTCAATGTTGCAATGTCAGTTCGGTAACCCTGCAGCTCCAGTTGGCGTCGACGTTCTAAATTTTGATAACGGTTCGTCATCATTTGTAGGCGCTCGCTTAGCTTAACTGAATGGTCTTTGTTGGCATTTTCGGACGAAAAGCATTCCTCGCGAGTACGGACTAGCTCTTCCTTAAGTTTGATCACCTGTTGAACAGTGTACAAAGATCAAGAATGCCTATCGACAGATGAAAACATAGAGATGAGGGAAAAACGGAGTACCGTGCACAGGCAATGGCTAGTGCGCGGCAAGTGAACGAAATTTGGTCGATAAACCGGCGCTTGTTTCTACGTGAAGCTAATATCCTCGGACCAGTGATTTAATACCGACGTGCATGTGCGCAACAGATGAGTGCCGGAGGAAATATTGCACCATTCGCGATGGGTACTTGATGATTCCCCATCCCCGTTACTTCGTCAGACATTATAAACCGACAAACGGATGGCTGGGGACGCGATCTCGATTTGCAACATGACACTTCAAGAGCACATGGAAACTAACGGCGTTGGTCATGATTGTTGTTGTATATATGAGCACCTGGGCTTTGTAAGTGACTGTGCCTCAATGACAATTCCCGTTCAAGTCAACGTAGTAGAGGGGAGACCAAAACAGCGCACAAGAGGGTATTCGAAGGCGCTTCAGCAATCTGTTGTTCTCAAGAAAACAACTAAGCATCAAACGGGGGCAAGCTTGAGTGATCTTTAAATGCATGATAATATGGTGCATTCCTTATTGTGAGCGATGACTGAGTGTTGAAGTAAAGCCGCAGTGGAACATCTCCAGATGCTAACCCCTGTCAACCGCCCCCTCTCGCAGTTTGCAGCGCCAGCGGGTGAGGAAATGTTTGTGGATCAACAATGGTATCCAGTTTACTTCCAATAGAAAAACACACCCGAGTGCATGCCAACTCAAACGCGACCAAGTCTTGTTAGTGGTGTTCGGTTTACCTATGTGTTTCCTGTCTCACGAACTCACCACTCACTTATAGCTCCTAAGCAGATGATCCAATGAACTGCAAATCCACACCCTACTTCGAGTTCATAGAGTAAACGATCTGTGATGCATCCGGGCTCACGGTGGACGAACGGGATCGAATGCTGCCGTGTCAGACTGCATATCACAATGTCTCATCAACACATCCGTCCTCCTCCGCTCTCACCCCATTCAGTGCATGATCCCAACGATAAGAGAAGGGAAGTATGCTTTGGTATACAGTAGCAATGCCCCCAACAGTATGGTAATTTGTGGTGTACCTCAAGAGCAACGAGCCAGCATCCAGTCTCCTCTTGCACACCTAAGTGCTAAATTCCACTTGGTTTGCATGAACGTCTACCGTGGATACGAATAGTAGCGAGGTAGCCAGGAGAGACAGATGTCCAGTCAACCCATCGCACCGGATGCAACTTCGACTGAGTTGGTGATAAAAGAGAAAAAGACGACAATTTAAAGGAATGAGGCGCTGACATAAAATCAGAATTGAGATCGAGGAAAGAATAAAAAAGTGAACTAAAGCGCCCAGCTCGATCTGCCGCTGAGATTAGAAAAGCCGCATGAATCGCTTAATGCTCTCGGCTGTTCT